ACAAAAAACATATTCAAACAAGATGCTGAAAATAGAAAGTACTACAGTGGTATATAACACTTCCACTTGTTTATGCATCATTATTCCTCTATTATTGGGTGTGTTCTTGGCCCAGGATTTTTATCCTTATTTGCCCCCCATTTCTTGATCGTTTCTTGTGTCAAGACTCCCTTGTCAACGAGCGTCTCTATTTCCTTTAACAGTGACCAACAATTCCTTGTTGAATGTCCAGATACTCCCAAGTGAAAATTATATAAGCTATTTTGATCATAGCAATGGATATAAGGCTTTGGTGACACCTTCACCAATCTTGGTGAAATATATTGACCTTTAACCAAATGAGGGTACAGGTCTGAGATAGATTCTTGAAAAACCTTCAGAGTTTTTCTCGCTCGTGAGGCTATCACTTTCTTTGATCGTTCTGAACGAATGAATGCTCTCATGTTATCGAGGGGGTTCTGAATGCTCATTTCAGCTATAACTGGGGTAGTGTTCACCAGACTCCTTGGATTGCCCCTTGAGACCAAATCTTGAATCTGTATTGAATTACCATGCTCTTTAATAGGTTCTTGATCATCAGACACTATCACATCGAACTCATCATTATCATTCAAAACCTTATTCATAGCCTTCACAGTGGGATCCTTTAAGGGTTTCTCTCCATAGAGTACAACATTTATCAGGTCCATCAGTTTTGTCATTTGCTCTTTTGAATCATTATGGGATTTTTTACTTGATCAATCATCTCTTGTTGAGTCTTGATAAGTTGCTCTTGTAGTTTCTCAATTCTACCAACCCTTGCTAAAATCTCATTCATGGTTCTTATCCTTGTTTAGGAAGACCAAGTTAGCTCCACTTTGATTTCAGAAATTCTATCATGGAATTCTCCACGAATTACTCTCATGTTTTCATGTTTAAATGTATGTAAAATAGTTTAAAACCAAATGTAATTATGTAAAAATGAAAATGTAAATACAAACGTAAAAAATGCAAATGCAAATTCAAATGTAAATATGTGAATGTAATAATAAGCATACAAATTGTGCAATACAAATGCAAAAATGCCAAATGTAAATATGCAAATGTAAAAATGTAAATGTAAATTATTTAAAATACCAGAATAGGACATCCAGTTATATTAAGACTGCCCTTTTCTTTGATATTGAAAATAAATAAACATTATTATTTAATTAAATATGTTTTAATGCATGATGTAAATTTAAAAATGTAAATGTAAATACAAACGTAAAAAATGTACAAATGCAAAATACAAATGCATGTATGATAAGGTGTTACTGAAGAGTGATCATCTTAGAACAGATTTCATTGAACGCAAAAGTTTCGGTACATAAAACAAAACTTTACATATAGGGATATATTTCATTCCTAAATTCTCCAAAGCCAAATTAGTCTATCAACTTAAGGGACATATTGCTTGTCTGGACTGTAACCTCTTCCATGACATTCTCTTTCATTTTCTGTGTCACTTCTCGGAGTTGCTCATTTTCCTTTGTAAGAGATCTTTTCTGTCCAAGAAGTTCTTGAACAAGATCTTCATATATGTTGCAGCTCTTTTTCATCTTGGTGACCCCTGTTATCCATTCTTCTGGGGTACCTCCTAGGCCAGCATTTTGAAAGGCTTGACTGATCTTCTGAAAATCTTCATGCATGGTTTTCATTTCTGTGCTCAATTTCTTGTTTTGGTCGTTCAAGTCCTTCAAATAATATGCTTGAGCTTCATAAAAATCTCCACTACTCTGAATACCCTGACTGATGCTCTTACCATAGATTGCTTTTGGTATCAATCTGGTAGGATCTTTGTTTAATACTTTTGGTATTAATATAACCGATTCTCTGTGTGCAGAACTTCCCTCGATCCTCGTAGTTTCTTCAAGATGTCTTTCCTTGGCCGCATCATATTTTGTTTGATCATAAAACTTTTTGTCCATTTACGATTTCTTTCCAATATGATGAACAGTCTTTCAAGCCAACACCTTTTGGTTATGCCATGATCATGTAATGCAAACAAAAGAAATCAATATGAACATATTAAAAAAATAGAATAGTTAGTACCAACTAAAAAAAAACTATATATCAATGTATAAATCTTAACCTCATGCTTTCTAGTTCCATGCTTTGTTTGGAAAATTTAACCTAACTGCATGATTTCTAGTTCGCATGCATTTATTCAAGAAAAAGAAATAAATTAAAAGCTAGAGTTTATTTCTTCTTTGTGTATACCTACTGACAAAATTTCGGCATGGTTTCAGATCGGGAGAGTTTCTAGGGTTTATTATATGCAGGTTTTCAGTTCTAGGAGTATAGGTACTCGAACTGTCCTTGTTGATACCCCCTTGGGCTATCAAACCCTCGATCATAGTCCATTACAGACTTAAACGGATCGAGTTCAATTCGAGGGGATACATTTCTCTATGACTAACACGGAGAATAAATTCTCACGAAGACATAGAGCATATGAACCCCAAAAGTTACTTGCTAGGTCTGACACGGAGAATAAATTCTCACGAAGACGTCGCTTTCACTCCCACTTAAAAGGGACAACTCAATTATAGAGCTTTATGTTATGCAATGCAAGTGTTGTGTGTGAGGAAAAATGTTAAACTTTTGACATAAAAATAAATACTGAAATAAAATACTTGCAAATAAAACATATAAATATTATAAAATAATAAATATAAAAAATTTGAAAAGAAAGAATTAAAAATTAAATATATAAAATTTTTAATTTTTAATAGAGACAATTTATAATTAATTTTTAAAAGTTTGACCAGTCCCCAGCGGAGTCGCCAAGCTGTCGTAACCGTTTTTCGTCCGGGCACGAAATATTTATTTGGCGGGGAAATTAATGTTAATAAATAATTTTGAAAATAATTTGGGAGTCGCCATCAGCCTTTTGGGTCAGGTAGGTTGAATACCTAAAAAATATCTTTTAAAAGAGTTTTTAAGAAAACATCAATTAAAAGATAAACTGATCTGCGTTTTAACCATTCTTTTTAATAATAAAAAGGGATTCGTGGTCGGTTACGTTTAGGGAAGGATTAGCACCCCTATAACGCCCAAAATTGGTACTTTTTAATTATAAATTGTCTCTATTATTAAAATTTTAAAAATTCAAAAATATATTTAATTTATAATTCTATTCTTTCAAAATTATAAAAAATATTTATTTATTTAAAAATATCCGAAAAGAACTTCTAGGTGCCTTAAGACAGTTCTTTTCTTTGATATTGATAAGTATGAATTTATATAATATTGTTTAATTTTTAATTTTAAAATATCAGAATAGAACATCCAGTTGTATTAAGACTGTCCTTTTCTTCGATATGGAAAATAAATAAACATTGTTAAATAAATAATGTATATATTTATAATATAGTAAAACAATAATTAAAGTAATGATTGAAAATATATTAGAATAATAAAAATTAAGTTAAAACATAACTAAACAATGATTAAAAATAAATAAAATAATAAATGTAAAATTATGAACATAACCTGAATCATCATAAAATAAAATTACTAATAGTGTAATTAATCCTTAATTAATTAATCAGTGATTAAAATAAAATTTATCAAAGTTTAAAGGCTCTATCTCGAATAAATAAAACTTTAAGTGCTAAATGTAATTTAGCCTTATTTAATTAATCGGATTAAAATAAACGTTAATAAAATTATAAGGTACTAAATCAATTATTTACCCTAAATATATATATAAACTGATAATGACTAAAATGTAATAAAATAAAATTGAATGATATGATTAAAAGAATTAAAACTTGCTTTTAATGACTAATTTGTAATTTTACAAACTAGGAGTGACTGCGGAAAGGGTTTACCCATGATGGAAATTACACAGATACCCTCCCCCTTAAACGACGTCGCACGGATGAGGGTTTATAACCCTGAATGCCTGGCCCGAAGGGCCAAGCTTCTCATTTGCCTCATTTCTTTCTTTCTCAAGACGAGAGAACCAGAGTTCTCTCTGGTTTCTCTCTAGTTTCCTTCGCCGGAGGGAAACTGGCGGCCATGGGCCACCGTATTCCGCCGCCGGCCACCGCCGCCGGCCACCGTAACGGTGGTCGGAATTCACAAAAAATACCCCCAAAACGTAGATCTAAATGCCCTAAGACCGATTCCGGTCTTTGTTTCCATAAAAGACTCCTAATCGGAGTAAATCTACGAAAATACCTTCGGTATTTTCTGTTCTCCGGCGATGTTTAGTGCTTCCGACGGTGGTCAAGGCTCCAAGGGTAAGTTTCTTTTCTTCTTTCTTTGTTTTCTATTTTTTTTTCTGGTTGTTGGTTGCTGTTCGTTTGTGTTCTTTTCCTCCTCTATTTTTTTTTTTGTTCTGTTTTTTCGTTCTCTGCCGTCTGTGGATCCCTTTTTGTCTTGCAGGTGGGTGGTGGCTTTTATAGCCACCACCGGTGCGGTCATCGGACTGGTCCGAAGAGGGGGCTTTGGTGAGTCACCGGACTACCAGTGGTGACTCACCCCGTAGCCTTGGCGTGGACGGCCGTCGTTGATCTTCTGGAGCCTTCATTCGGGATGTGGCAGCGGCGGAGGCGGTGAGGGCTTCTGGAAGCAGCAGCGGCGGCGGTGGACGTGTCCCTAGGGTATAGATACCCTAGGGTTTCCTCTGGCAAATGATGGACCGTTGGATCAAACCAGATCCAACGGTTGAGATTGAAGATGGCGGCTGGCGGCTGGCTAGATTTAGGGTTAGGGAACCCTAACTGGAAACCCAAATATTTAGGGTTTCCGGTTGGATTTGGACCGGTTTCAGTTGGTTTGTAACTGAGCCGGTTTAATTGTAACTGGTTTGTATTTAATATATTTAATAATAAAAATAATAATAATAATATTAATAATAATTAATAATGATAATAATAATAATAATAATAATAATATAATAATAATAATAATAATAATAATAATAATAATAATAATAATAATATGGATAAAAATTTAGTATCTTCACGAATCATACCCGTTTCTTTTGCAATTGAACAACAGATATGGAGGAGCGCCGAAGATTCACCACTGCGTATTTGGCATCTTCGGGTTAGTTATCATTCTCTGCAAACTGCATATCAAGTATAAAAAGAATCTGAATACTATAGGAAAGTATGTTGCTTGTTTAAACGGTGATTTTTCTGGGTTGCATGCAGGAAATGAACACAGTGACGCGGAAGTGGAGCAGCTACTCGTCAACGTCGAGAAATACACGCTTGCCAATCATATGTTTTGGGGCTTATGGGGAATCATCTCGGTAGGTTTTTATTCACACCTTTTCACTTAGCTTTATGGCGTAAGTATTGAGGGAGCAATCCGGTTATGGAATGTACAGGGTCATGTAAACAAGATAGAGTTCAACTACTTGGAGTATGCGCGGCAGAGGATTCAACAATACTGGTTAACTAAGCCCTTGCTGCTGGGTTATTCACAAATCCAACCATAGATTTGTTTAGTTTACGTTCTACTGTAAACCTACACCGTTATCGCTATGTTACTTGGACTCGTGTGTTAAAGTTTAATCTACTTGCCCAATTCTTTTCGCTCTTTTATATATATACACACAAGGGGGGGGGGGAACTTCAATTACAATTTAGTAGAACTTAAAATACGACATTGTTACTTAATTGTTTGTAAATACTTAATTTTATTTTGTGTTGATTGGATAATTGATTTGTAAGTGTAATTTAGATAATTTTTATTTTTTGTGAATATTATAGTAAATAACCCCATAGACTCAAGATTGTTTTTTTCTTAAAACAATTGTAATTTCATTAAAAACAATATGGGTCTCAAACATCTGATAATAATGTCGTCTTTCATGCATGTTTTCTTCTTTAATAATAATGCGTGTCTCTGCTTTGGCCTGCATTTTTAATAAACAAATACAATCAAATGAATACGTAGAATCTAATGCAACAAGTTGTTGGCATAGGGTTTTGGGGGCTCTATGACTATAAAGATAAATTATTATAATGAAAGTGAATTTATATATTTTGTAATTAATTCATATGGTCTATTTACTCTATTTTTAAAGATATCATTTTGATAAAATTAAATTTTTATTTTTAAAGTAAACTATCCTTTTATATATATTACAACCATTTATATTTAAAAAGGCAATATTACATAAATCATAGTATTATATAGTATATTACATTCACTAAAAGAAATATATCATGTCATAAATACTTAATAAAATAAATAAATTGCAGGAGTTATTTTAAGTCCAGCTCTTTTGTATTTCAGTGGATTGATTGATTATTTATATATTTTTAGGTTGAATAACTCTTTTATTCTTAAATTTTAAAAATATTTTTTTATTATAACTTTTGATCTTTAAACTTTTATTTTATCAAATTAAAGTAACTATCGAAAATAATAATAAAATCGCTTAAAGCCATTGGTCTCAAATCCATGACTCAAACTGGTTTCGAATTTTATTTCATCAAAAGTATTTGGGTCCGTAAAGGTGAGTTGTGGAGAATCCCCATTTTTTATGTTTTCAACCAATTTCATTATTTTAATTAATTATATATATGAATTTTGATTTTAATTTGATATTCAAAAACCATAAATACCTTATTTGATATAAAACTACTCTTTTTTTTAATTTTTATATTGTATAAACAATTGAATTAACACATGAAAATCAAGTAGATTGTCTTATATATAATTATATTAAAATTAATTTTTATGTGTATAATTATTACATAACCAAATATAAAACATATACGGTATTATATTATTCAATGGGATCAAGACTTATGTAGAAGGAGAGACATGCCTAATAATTTCTCAACCAGAGAAAAATGCTGTTGTCTTGTTGTGGAGCCCAGGGGTCCTATCTGACTTAAAGTGAAGGGCAAAACCATGAAATTTGGGGCTGACAAAGATTAATTTGAGTTAAAGCGAAGGGCAGAACCAAGAAATTTGGGTCTACAAAGACTAATTTGAGCTATTAATTGCCAAGAGAAGCTAAAACTAAAATCAGATCATTTGGAGTGAGTTTAGTATTGATTTTGAAAAGTGATGTAAAAAATATTTTTAAAAATATTTTTTAAAAGTGAAGTTTAAAATTTAAATAATTAAAATCGTTGTTAAAAAATAATTTTGAAAAACTAAAATGTATATTTTAGATATAATGTTCTAAATTAAAAATATATCGTTTAAATAATATTCACACTTATTAATACTATGATATTTGAAATATATCAATTTAAACTATAATAAAAATATAAAAAAAATATTTTAAGATAACTCATTAATAATATTTTTATATGTGAAAATATAAAAAAATATACGTACACTGATGTAAGTATGTATTTATTTTAGGTATCAAGATATTAAGAGATGTACATACTTATAATGGTGTAAGTATGTATTTATTTTTAGGTATCAATATATTGAGATATATACATATTTTTAAAAAGTTTGGATTTTGAGAAGATTTTAATACATATATTAAAAATTATTATCACTTGTAAACATAATTATTATTAAATTAGATATATATTAAAAACCAAATCATTAACACAAATCTATAATTTCATATATTAACCGAGTGCATAAGGTACAATATAATAAAATAATTCACCCAAAAACAAGGCTGGAAGCAAGGGTATTTTCGTAATGTCTTCAAAATTCCAAATGCAAAAGCTAAAAGCACCTCTCATGCAGCTTCTCCGTTTGAGTCCATAAACACTTTTGAAATGGTTTTATAAGCTATAAAAGCAATTTGAGATAATAAAATTCTTTTTAACCGAAAAATTAATATTAAAGGAACAAAAATTAAAAAAAATATTATAAAAACGGTATTAAATCAACCGTAAAACTGATATTTCTAGTTTTTTTATTTCTAAATTTACATTTAAAAATAATTTTATATTTTTATCATTACTAATGTATGGACTCCACTTATTTGTCTTAGAAAATAACTTTAAATTCATTTTTTATTAATTATATACTTATACTCTATTTCAATAATTTAATACTAACGTCTTTAAAAAATAATTTATCGTTTAATAATTTATTTTAATTAATTAAAAGTAAACAATTATAATTTATTATTAAAATATTAATAGCGAGTTAAATATATTTTTATTATAATTTTTTTTGTATTTTTATTATTGTTTAAATTGATTATTTCATATATAATAATTGTTTTTATTTTGTTTTAATTTGAGGTAAGTACAAGGTAGTATATGTTCAAAGATGACCCTCAACCTTTCAACATTGAACGCTCACACTCCTGATATCTATGGTGCTCGAACTTAGATCCTCAAGAAATAACAACAATTCCTTTACCATAGAGACCACTTGGTTTGTGCTATTTTTGAATGGTTAAAAATTAAATATATCATTTAAATTATTTTATTTTAAATTTTAAATGAGTGATTATTATTAAATTAGAATAATTAAAATATTATTTTAAAACCCAAATGTTAAATGATATTAGTAATATATTTTTTCTTAATAAAATATTTCATATAAAAATATTACTAATGAATTATCTAAAAAAATTATACTTTTATTATAATTTATATTGATATATTATATGTCATTATATTAATATGTATAAATATTTAATTTATAATATAATATCTAAAATGGTGGAGAAGATTAAAGTGTTTGAACCTGGTATAAATGTTAAGCAATTATAAATAAATAAATAATGAAATAAGGTTAGGGTTATTGGGCTGTGATGGAAATTCGAGCCCAATTATGATCTGTTTTGACTTCAAAAACCCAAGCACAAGTACAGTGACATATAACAACCTGGTGTCGAATTTATTGAGATTTCCGCATCCAATAAATTAAATTATTTAAAATATCCATAATCCCAAACTATACCCATGACGTATAAACCCAATAAGGGTAAAACAGTAACTGCACAGAGAAATTAACTTATTTCCTGCTTCGAAATCTTCAAAAACTCTTTATGACATTAATGTGAGATTATGCCTCGTTCAAGCCAAAATATTTTTGGAGTTCCCAAAACCCCCTAAATTAAAACCTTTAATTGAAACCAGTGCCCTAATTTATTCATCAACAGCTCCATTTCTCAAGACCAAGTTTTGTTTTTTATAAACATTTGCTAGGCTGCTTCAATAACAATCTTTAAAATTATTATATTATATTTCTTAAAATTACTAAATTAATTGTCACTGTTACTTAATATTATTAATTGTTCTTAATAAGAATCACTAAAACAAAACTTAATATAATGTTTTTTTAATGACGTACATGATAAAAAGCGATTAAAATATAAAAATTTATAAAACACTTGCTTATTTAAATAACGAAAACATATATATATATATATATATATATATATCTAAATATAATGACGCTGTAAAAATAAAATACGGTGGTGAAATATTTATATATTTCACTTCCCCTAATCTCAGCATGTGAAGTGAGGCTTCCACAAATTATAACTTTGTTTTGCCCCGCTCCCAAAGCAAACCCACCACCCTTTCCTCGGTAGTCAAATCCATATTATTTATATGCTTACTTTAACTTCACCCAACAGTGATTTTTTTGTTTTAATGAAAAACAGTAATTTTGTCGAAAGTCATTATTTCTTTTATTTAACCATGATTCAGAAACAGGAATACCTAACTTAAATGTTCCTCTCTAAGGATACAAGTGTTCTGTTATTTCTAATATAAGTCATATCTAATTTGATTGTACAAATATTTATAATAAGTTATAGGGTAAAGTATATAAACGTTCACAGATTATAGGACGTTGTTTTGTTAAGTTTTTCGATTATTAAATGTTACAAAATGGTCATTCGACTATAGGATATTGTTTAGTTGAGTTCCCAACTTTTAAAAGTTATAAAATTATCACATGCCTATTTATATGTTCAAAATTCATCCTTTTTCGTTAAAATTTGACTATCGTATGAATTGAACGTTAACATGCTAATTGGACATGATAAAATAATATTTTAATGACGTCTATTAACATTGTCATTGCTTTTAAGCAATGATTCGATGACATAGTATTTCAAGTAGTGGCTCGGTGTTATAATGTAAATGGGGAATTAATCCATAAAATACAACTCAAAGAGTTTTGAGATCAAATTTTATCATATCTCAATCAACAGGTTTACATCTAGATCAGACAACCATCAATTTTTAATAAAAAATTAAGAGTTTGAAACATATGAATAGTTGAGTGACTATTTTATAATTAATAGTCAGATGACTTAATAAAAAAACATCCTATAATTAATAGATTATTTTATAACTTTTAATAATCGAAATACTCAACAAAATATCTTCTTATCATCATAATACAATTTATATATTTTATCCTAAGTTATATTACTTATAAAATTCAATACACTAAATCTGATATAGGAAAACTTAACATTAAGGTAGCGTTTGGTTCGCATGAATCCCTTGGAATTAGGGGGAATTGAAATCCAATTCCACCACTTTCCCATGTTTGGTTCATGTTTTCAAAGGAAATTGGAATCCCTCATGACTTCAACTTTTCATCAAATGAGGGAAAGTGAATTTCATTCATTCTATGATGGAATTCAATTCCCT